ATCTTCTATATCATCGCTTTCAATCTTTTCTTTCAAGAGTTCTTTCTTCTTCTTCTTAATATTTTTCATGAATTATCTCATTATGTTTATTCTTTTGCCTGTTACAATGTTTTGTATGGTCATAAACATGTTAGAGTATTTAGTGATGTAGATTTTGACACTGCCTGCACCATAAGGCTCATCCGTTCATATCATGGGTTATACACACCTATTGAATCAGTTATTGAAACTCTATCATGTCAGTGAAGTCTACTGCCTTAATCAGTTATTATGTCATTCTTCTCTCTATGGGTGGTCCGGTGGTCAGTCCAGGAGCCCTTAAGCCCCCGGTTGGCGACGGGATATAGTCCAGAAGGCCACTGGTTCACCTGTCATCTACATCCTTCCTTTCCTATCATTCTGCACATGTATTTGGTGTGTATAATAATAATAATAATAATAATAATAATAACCTAGCTTCTACCTCTTCGCGTTGGAACGAAGTCGATTTACCGCTCGTAGCGCCAGCAGCGTCTCCTCGTAGTTGTGGGCATTGCCACCGCGTGTATTGCATAAATTTACACACGCAATATAACGCGCACGTAAGGGTGCGCGCGTTATTGGTACGGCGCTCGAACGGAAGCCACTACGAAGGTGTGGTTTTCGTTCAATGGTGGACCAAAGTGGCACAAAAGTTGAGACGAAGGGGGAACTGATGAATGCGGAAAAAATTGTAATGAAAGTCTTAGGGAGAGTACAGCTAAATACAACCTGCGGACATCTCAAGCTGTTAGAGCTATTCGTGCGACGGGTATAAATTTTCTTCGTTGTATGCAGCGTGCGTTGCGCTTTCGAACAATACGCGTAACGCAATTTTGAATTTTTGCGCCGAATTGTACCCTTTCCCAGAGCGGGTCACATATACAGAAAAATCGCGCCGTTCGGACCACTAGGTTAGCTCGCTCCCGCTCGCCAATTATCCAGGTTTGCAACAAGCTGGCTACGCCGGTCAGAGCCACGATGAGAGTGTTGTATAAGACCAGCTGCCTCTAGGGGTTGTTTACAGTGATCCCACAATAGCCTTTTCGTATTTTTAACATCGTCAGGGCTAAAATTTATGCTTACACACCTTTTATCTCAAAGACACTACATCACCCTTTAGCCTGTACGCCTTAATGAAAGACAGAACAGCACTGATTAACAAAGGCCTAGCAAGATGATGGGATGAGTTGGATGGTGTAAGCGGAGATGCAGACGTTGTGGCGCCTTGGTTACGACCTTGTTGTAGATTACCTTGCACACAATTAGGCTGTGTATCAACATTACATAAAGCATGTTTGGCACTTTGTTTAGGGGAACAACACAGGCTGTACTCACCCAGAGGTTTACCTCAGTGCATAATTGACTGTCTCCACTTTTTGGTCTTTTTCCCACAATGGGATTCAAATTCAGAAGGGGTATACCAACATCCTTCCAACAAAATACATTCCCTAGAGACCGTTTAGACTCATCCAACTTGTCTAGATAGAACCAGACAGAACAGCTACCACAGCTAACATACCTTGGTTGTCATTTGTAACTGAACGTTTCAACAGAGGTTTATCCAAACGACTATCATGCTTAGCTGCCATTTCAGACAACAAAGTCGAAGACAACAAAAAACGAACAGCATCAAACAAGCAGCACACACCAACAAGCAACAAACTTCATGGCAGCGGTGATATATGGCGGTCAAGTCAGGAGTAAGGCTACCTCCGGGATCGTCTGGGTCGCACCTGGTCCACTCTCTCTAGATGGGGTGGTGTTGAGGGTTCTCGGGGCCCCCACCACGATGGTCGTCCCGTCGTATTCGCGCAGGAAATCAGTGACGCCGTTCACCTCAAAGGCCCTGGCTGCAGATATCCCTCAAGCAAACCCAGGCTAGATAGTCGTCGCAATGGGCCGAAGAAGTAGCTATTACGATTACTGGGGGTTGTTAATGGCTTGGGGTTGTTAATGGCTTGTTAGCTTGGTTTTCACGCCATAACTCTTGAACGCATTGCTTTTACGAAAATCGCCAAATCGTGTCGTGCTGAACCTTTTGGTATCGCTCATTTGTTGTCTCTTTGCTCGTGGTGGCAGAAAACGTGGTAAAAGACAGACAGACAGACAGACAGACACTGCAGACCTGCCAACCCTCCCGGAATGTCCGGGTTTATCCTGCAAAAGAGATGCTTACCCGCTGCCCCACATATTGGTTAAAAACTCCCGGATTCTCTGCGCTGCGCGTTCGGCACACCCCCACTATAGATACCTGCTGCCGCGCGGTGCAAAGGTCGCACAGTGAAAGTTGGGAGCAACTACATAATACAAGGCTAGCGCGCTTTCAGTGCCGTGGATGAGTGGATCAACTGGAGTGTATATACGGACCCGACGCGTAGCAAGTTCCGGCCACGCCCAAAATCACCCCACGCGATGCGCGCTTACTAATTAAGGCCACGCCCAAGCGCACTCTTTTTTAAACCAGTTTTTTGTAGCAAAACCAGTGATATTTTACCCTTTGACCAGAAAATTTCAGTCCTATGGTTGGCAGGTCTGACTAACAGACACACTCGAACTCAGCTACCGACCAGATACCGTAACCGTCGCTGCGCATGCGCGCCGAGGGTTAACAATCGGGAATTGGCAATGCCCACTCACATGATGAATCGCAAGAGCGCTCTAATTTTGTCGCTTTTGGCGCTCCATGCCACGGACGTGCTTACCAGAGTTCGGAATTGGCCATTTCTCAATACTGGACTCTCAAAACCTAAACGCTGTACCAGCGCCGGGTCTCGAAGCGCTAACGTCCCGGCGCGCTATTACTTTCTACTTTCCAGGAGAGTCCAGAAGGCCGCTGGTCTGCTCAAGCGTTTCTAGTCCCGGCGCTGGTATAAGATCACGGCGCCGGTATATATCGTTGACCTTTGCACCATACCATCCGCCCACATTCCGAGGTTGAGCATGCGCAAGAAGACAAAACGGGGCGAACTTCAAATTTCGATAACTCGGGCTAGACAGCAGATATCGCGACGAAAATAGCAGCGCTATACGCTACGTCACCGGGGGAATCGAACGAGTGGCGTCGATCGGCTGTTGGCGAGACACACCCCTTACTGGTCGAAGTCGGTATATATAAGAGTCCCAAGGGAATTTCTCTTTTGCCCTCCTATTTCTCATGCCTCTCCTGCTGCTATCCTGGCATTTCCACCTGAGCAAACCTATGCCAAGCCCCTACCCTGATGGACTTACACGTTTCTTTGTTTTGTGCAAAACCCGGAACATGGTATTACAGTGAGTGTGCGCATAGCCAAGCAGAGCAACAAACCCGAGACGCACTTCTTGATATCGAGCCCGCGGTCGCGCGCGGTGTGGCCGGCCGGCCGGATATCACGGCTCGCGTGCGCCGCAGCGGGGCCGGCCTTGTAGTTTACGGAGCTATACGGAGCAGAAAAGCTGCGCGTCCCGGGTGAACACTCGGGTCGACCTGACTACACTCGGGTCGACCTGGCAACACTCGGGTCGACCTGGCAACACTCGGGTCGACCTGGCAACACTCGGGTTTACCTGAGAACTCTAGGGTCCACCAGAGATAACATGAATTTTCGCGGAGACACTGAGTACTCAGGTAAACCTGGGAACTGTCAGGTCTATCTCAGAGCTCTCGGGTCGTCCTGAGAACTCTCCAAAATGAGCAGTAATTTCAAATAGACTAGCCTGATTACGCGGGTCTCCGCAGCTTGCGCATGCACCTCTCACACCGTGCAAAAAACCTAAGATTTTCGCAGTTTAGCTACCTGTGTTTCCGCGGAAATTCATGTTTTCTCAGGTCGACCCGACAGTTCTAAGGTGGACCCCGGGATGCGGGGATTTTTGATACTGATGGCGTGCCATACGATCGAAATCCTGTGCTAATTAGCAATTGGCTTCGGCGCGCATGCGCAGCGAGGGTTGCAGTAGTTGGTTTGTCTGTCTGTGTGTCTGTGTGTGTCTGTCTGTCGACGCTTATTCTGACACAGCAGGCTACGAGGCGGCCTATTAGCGATACCAGCGGCTTCAGAACTACGCGGGATTGAAAAACAGAAGGGCGATTTTCCTGAAACGACTGCGTTGGAGAGATATGCCGTGAAAACAAGCGAAAAAGCCAACGTGCATAATGAACTGGGCTTACCGCGACCTGATTCGCTCGCTCTGTGTACCTTGGGGGCTCAGGAAGTCACAACCAATGGCATGTATCGACTCCCGCATGCTATCTACTGCCATAGCTAACCCGTGTCAGACTCTACGCGAGTTACGAGACCGATTTAGCAGTATCGCGCATGCGCAGTTCGCCGAGGGCTTGCACTGCAGTGCTTTTCATTCACTTGGTTTTTACGCCATAACTTTAGACGGCAGTATTTTTACGAGAATCGCCACGAAGCCTGTGTAGCGCTGAACCCGTTGGTGTCACTTCTTTGCCTGTTTGTTACGCGTGGTGGCGGAAAACGTGGGAACAGACGCACACAAAGAACCATCGCTGCCCCTGCGCGCCGAGGGTTGATCACATCGTTAGTCGACCTATGACCCTGTCGAATTTCCCCCTAGGCGAGGTATTGAAGGTGCGTATGTTGGTAGAAGGAACCCACGGCCACCACTAAGGAACCACGCAGGGGCGTGGTTTGATTATTTAACCCCGTCGTCGCGGGCGTCGCTTGTGCTGCTTCCCCATCATTCTCTTCATAGCAGAGCTCAAGCAAGATGGGATTCCCATTGACAGATAAAACTTTCAGTTATCGAATGTATAAGCTATACAAACACGCAAGAAATGCCGTTCGGAGCAGAAACTGAGCTGCTACATATTTATACATTCGATAAGTTTTATCTTTCAATGGGAATCCCATCTTGCTTGAGCTTCTGCTATGAAGAGAAATGATGGGGAAGCAGCACAAGCGATGAGAGCGACGACGGGGTTAAATATTTAAACCACGCCCCTGCATGGTTTCTCACCAAAATACGTACTTTATACCCGTAGGCGTGTCCCCGCAGTGCCAGGTTCGCTCGGAAAACGCAGACGTGGCTCAGGGTCATGTCTCATGACTCTGTAGCAGTCCACACCGATCCGGAATCCCAGACGACCACAGAGGTCGAGTTGGAGAATTTGGTAAGAAAGGCTCGGAGCTCCAACTTGGAGGAGAAGCTTTCAGCTGTCCAGGCCATCGGGTAACTCTCTATTATACAGGTTCTAGTCTTGAATCGACTCTATGGGTGGGCCCTAGCTAGGTACAGGTAGGATACGTTGCAGATTTAGAACAGAACTCAGTCACAATTATCATACGGGGAATTGTGTTCATATTATGGATTTGTGATTGTTACTCAACAGTCTTTCGTTACACACTGCACTGCAAGGAGCGTGCGCACCAAACCAATGTAGCTCAGAGTAGGCTTGAATATTATCTTGAGAGCACTTTGTTATCAGCTTCTCTGGCACATCAAAAGATGATGCCTACAGAGAGTGGCATTGTCAATACACAGAGTATAGAGGAGCATGAGGGTAGCTCGCTATACCTTGATTAAGGACAGCTAGGTCTGTCAATGACCTGTGGCATCATGTATTGGACAATCACACAATTCATGTAACTAGGTAAGCTCGCTTTACTCGCCCATTGTAGCACTATTCAGTCGATGAACTTTCACACAATCCCCATGCACTCTGACTGCTCAATGGTTAGGCTCTACCACCTGCTGTCTATCTCTGTCAATAGAATATTCCTCTCTTTATCCCTCTGTTTTCCTCCATCACCCTGCACCCTCTCTCTCATAACAGGAAGCTCCTGTCCACAGTGGAGGATCATCCCACTGATGCAATCAGCAGGTAAGAGCCACATTTACTGTTTCTTCTACTCACAAGATTGCACACACCAGGAATACGCGATTCAAAGGCAGAAGCTTTAATTGCGGTTCTGTATATCCAAATACGTACTGCTTAGTTCACTCACTACATCATATTAGTGGAAATTATTTTGGGAGTTGAACGAATCCCTTTTAGCTACCTGGAGCTTATTTACGTCTGTGAACTGTTTGATGGACTGGAAGTACCAAATTACCCTACCATGACATATCTGTATATTTTTCTATATATATATTTTTATATAAAATATCATTTCCCACGTATAGGACTGGGGTAGTACCTGTGCTGGTCAGTTGTCTGCAGAGCTCCAGGTTAGTACATGAATTGGTTCAGCAATATCTTCTGATTACCAAAAGGCACAAAAGTGGTTGAAAGAGGGTCTGGTATATAAGGTTCATTTCTTGGTTGTGCTGAGTCAGCATGTTCGGAAAACGGGTAACCCAATCAGATTGCCGGATTTAAAAGTATCATGTGACATGAAGGCGATCTGCAATGCCAACCTGTTCTGCGCATGCGCAGTACAACAGAATGGGAACGCTGACCAGGTGATCACATGACTGACAGGTTGAATTATGCAATTTGCGTACACATGCTGAGTCAGCACAACCAAGAAGTCGGACCTTATTTACCAGACCCTCTTTCACGCGGGAGCACGTGAGGGTCTGGGCATGAGGCTATACATACACCCTAAATTTCTCTTTCCTTCCCCTCTCCTCTCCTCGCCATTTATTCTGTTACGTAGCTCTCTTTACCCCCTGTTGTTCTTCTCTCACCCTCTTACCCCTCTCTAGTCATTCGCTACTATTGCAGGTTCTCAGTACCTTGCAAGTTCTTACATTTGAACAGAGTTTGATGGTTGTGAGATATGGAGCTCTCCCACTTCTTGTGCAACTGTTCAATTCAAAAGACCCTCTTGTCTGTGAGCAGGCTCTGTGTGTCCTAGACAACATATGCCATGATAATGAGTGCTTTGATGATATCAATGTCGATGGGTTCATTGAGCGTCTCCTCTTCTTTGTGAATGACAGGACACCAGTAAGTAGAAGATCTCTCTCTTACTCTCTCATTTCAGTGCATGGTATCATTAACCTTTAGTGTGCTTGCACAGCGAGGGTTGCATTACTTGGTTTGTGTGTCATTCTCGTTACCAGTTTCTGCCACACAACAAGCCGTGCAAAAAGCAATAGTAACGAATTAAAATGGTTTTTCTCTTAAAAACACTGCGCTCAAAATTACGGTTCAAAAACCAAATTAACCAGCATAGGCGTACCTTCACCTGATCCGCTTGCGCCACTCATTGCTCAGTTGCACCAATGCACTGGTTGCTGAGATCAGTGAAAAGTTGGAAGGCATTGGGGTCAAGGAATAACCCTATACTGTTCCACTCCCTGGTGAATGGCAGCCATCACTTGATGTCTACCTGGCTCGTTCAGAGGTGGTTTCAGTGGTGGAGGGCATATGCGAGTGGTGATGTCTTACAATGCCTTTATGTCTTATGTCTTTATGCGTATCTCAGGCCCACCCAACTTCTCTCATGTGCACATGTTAGCTACTAGTAGGCGAATGCATGGCATTTTTGGCGAGCGGAAGCGAGCTTACAAATGGGGGTGGAGCCTACTGAGGGGTGGGCGACGTACCGACGACGTACGGTGACATGCGCAGTTTGGCGACGCTCGACAACGTACGCTGACATTTTATATAAAAATATATATATAGAAAAATCGCGCTGTTCGGACCACTATGTTAGCTCGCTTCCGCTCGCCAACTATCTAGGATACACTGAGTTCTATTTTTCTGTTACCCTAAGCTCTTTCTTCTCTCTACAGACTTCCCTCCTCAGAGGTGTATCAAGGACACTGTCTCACTTGTGTTCCATTAAAAGCAGTTTTGAGAGCATTTGCAAGGTTGGATAAGGTACATAATTTTACTGCCATTTTTCTCCTTTTCCTCAGTCTATCCAGAGAATATTGCCAGCTCTAGTGTCTTTGGTTCAGAAGGAAGACATTGATGTGAAGGCTAAGGCAAGCTGGGCTCTGTCCTACCTGGCAGCAAATCAAATCCAGGTTTGCTTACTGTTATTAATTCTGTCTCCTCTTGTTGTCACTGTACTGAGTCCAGTGGAGTCTCATTAGAACAAATTCCAGGGGACCCCAAAAATTGTCCTTCGTAAGAGGAGTTTTTTGTAACCAA